AGAAAGTATGTTTTCTGTTAGCTACAATGCAAAACCAATTATGGGTATGTTATATGGAAACCTGCTTTAAATATTCCTCCTAGCTTCGAAGGCTTCCCCAAGAGTTATAATTTTTAGGCTCATTGTTTACTATTTCATGGGTATGTTTTGTCATATGTTGAAAGATCACACCAGTTATAAAAATAAGGCAGTGACTAAAAAGCCACAAAAGCTATAAACATCTGTAAAAGTTTCCTAGGCAAGGCCACTTGTTAGAGGGAAACTTAGTGCACATTGATTATGTGCAGCTGGTGGCACACACACTTTCAGAAACTGGACCATTAAGAGAAGCTGTTAGATATATGGCATGTTGTCCTGTGGGCTGTATATTTGTCCCCTTAGCTGTATGTAACAGGAACCTGTGGGGCCACACTGGCAAACTTGCCTCTAAATCTCATCTCCAATGGTGTTGCAGATTTGAAGTTTTATATTACCAGTAGTCACAAAGCCAGTCTCACTAAAGACAATGGAGGAATCTGAAAATAACGTGGGTTTCACAGTCACTGCCGCACCAAGGGGCAAAGGTCAAGGTTAACCTCTGATCACTAATCAGAGCCACTGCAGGTTGTTACCTGTGTCTCCCTTTTTATTCTTAGAGGACCTGTCATATAAAGTACTATGTGAGGCCCAGTCATACAACTATCTACATATACAAGATATCAGGCTCCCCTTCTTCCAGACATGGGTGAACACCCTAAGCATGCTGACTAGGGGAGAGAGGAACTGGGATTTGGAAATCTGCTGCTCACTGGGCTGCAGCTTTGTGGCTAACAATAGGCCCATCACCAGAGCCCTGAGCAGTCTCTGAGCAGCTGAGATGGTTTCATGTTTATAAAATCCATCTTCTTGATATCCAAAATGGTTCCCCTAAGTAGAGAAAAACATGGCCTCAGAAAAAGAGGGAAGGCTATGTTTTAAGTTTTAGAATAACATGAAAGAAGTTTTTTAAAGAATATCTTTTAACTTACTAGAAGGAAATTTCAAACCTACAGAAACATAGAAAAGAAATGAATCTCCCTGTATCCTTAACCAAGTCAAATACATACTCTTTTTCATGCACATCTTTACTCCCTCAGGCATAAAACTTGAATTTTTATATGTGAAATTAAAATATTTAATTAAAGGTATTAAGTATAATTTTGATAAAAGTATCCTTCATATATGGCTATTGTAGAATTTGTTTTCCTAAGTAATAATAAAATTGAATCATGGGCAACCTCTAGTATTCAAAATATGGCTCACAAACCAGTAGCTGCTCGCAAATTCTTTGTTTCTGATATGCGACAAGTAAAGAAATGGTGAGGAACGTTTAGAACATCATAACATTTTGATGGTGCCATGATAATTTTTCCATTTATTCATTTTTTTAATATTTCATGAAAGTCTCACTCAGCACCAGACTGTGAAAAACATATTTCAGTACAAACAGTTTGAGAAGCATTGTCTATACAATGGTTCTGTGACTTTGTCCTCCCTGCAGGAGACTTTTATAAATGTCTGTAGGAGATATTTTTGATTGTCACAAAAGGTATGGGGCGTAAAGTCAGGAAGAGTGTGCTGCTGATGTCCGTTCGGTGTAGAGAACAGTCTCTACAACAAAGAATTATCTGTCCCTGTTTCAGTGGTGTCCAAGTTGAGAAAACCTACACTTGACCTCAGCGCAGACTTTAGGCTGCTCTGTGCCTTGTCTGAGGAAGGTTTGACAAATGAGCCTTGCCACAGTATAGGCTGGAAAGAGCCTCAAGCTGGTGATATTCAATCTTTCTTACATTTAGATACTCCATGTTCCGTATTGAAAATAAGTAAGACTTTTTTTATGTATAAATTTAAAATTTTTAAATATTTTCATTTAGAAATTTCATACCTAAGAAAGCTACAGCAAGTCCATGCTTCATGAATTTTTAAGATTTTCTTTTAAATTTAGAAATAAGAAATGATCATCTAGCAAATGCCATCATTTTTCTGAACTGTAATAGGATAAATATGTATAGCTATAGATTACTTGAAAAATAATCAAATGAAATTAATTTAGAACAAAGGATAGCCTTTATATCATAACCTGATTGTGTGTGTGTATGTGTGTGTGTGTGTGTGTGTGTGTGTGTGTGTGAGAGAGAGAGAGAGAGAGAGAGAGAGAATGAGAAAGAGAGAGAGTGAGAGAGATTGAGACAGGCACAGACTCACTTCCATATCTGATTCTCCTTGGTGAATTTCTTCTCTAAATTATATTTGATACCCAAGTTGCCCAAGTGGAAGTTATTTCATTAAGTGCAGACACTGTAGCTCTGTTACAGCTTTGAGCAAGACAAGTAGAGAAAAGGCATGTATACTCTCATGAGGTAACAGAAAAGCTAGTGTTTTGTTCATAAGTTGAACCCTATATCAACAAACCTGTGATTGTCATAGCCATGAAATTATCACTGCCATGAGAGAACGTTTATTAAGCATCCTTCTGTGATTTTCTGATACTTTTACCTTGACCTTTACTACCAGGGAAAGAGCTTATTTGTTATATATTTCTGTTTTTGTTTGTGGTTTAATGTTAATAGTAACCAGGGGAAATCTTTGAATTATATACCTATTGCATATTAATAAACCACCAACAGTCCATGCATGGACTCACTAAACTAAGGAAGCCTGTAATAAATTTATTTTTCAGAGGACTTCACACTCAGACACATTCATGATTCATCAAAAATATATCTTTGTTTAATCCCAGGGACATTCTGGCTTCAAATGATTCTAGGTAGAGAAGAGAAAGAATGTTCCTATTTCACATGTTAGTTTATAGCAGTATTTCATTTTCTATTTATCTTGGTTTTTTTAAATTTCCAAGAACATAATATAGTGTCCCCAACTTAATGATTGTTTGACCTTGTAATAGTAAAAAAGTTATATGCATTCAACAGAAACATTACTTTAAAGTCTGGATTTTAGTCTTTTTCTGGACTAACCATGTGCTGTAGGTAGGATACGCTACCTCAGTGCTGCCAGAGTGGCAGTAAGCAGCAACTTCCTGCTTAATGATTGTTTGACCTTGTATAGTAAAAAAGTTATATGCATTCAACAGAAACATTACTTTAAAGTCTGGATTTTAGTCTTTTTCTGGACTAACCATGTGCTGTAGGTAGGATACGCTACCTCAGTGCTGCCAGAGTGGCAGTAAGCAGCAACTTCCTGTGGCTGCAGTCACCACATGATCGCAAGGGCAAGCAACCAACACTCCATGGTATATTGTGTTGTTGAACTCTGATATATGGTAGACTAGCTGCATTAAATACATTTTTAAGTTATGAAACTTAAGATGAGTTTTTGGAAATGTAGTCCCATAGTAAGTTGATGAGTACTTGTAGTTTTAAATTTGGATACTTTCATGTATCTAATGAGAGTCTCAATGTGTAACATAAAGGATTACAAGAATGCACTGGATATTGGAGTGAAATGGTTTATTAATTTTGTAGGCCTATTTGGCCATTCCTAGAAAAGTTAGAAATTCAATCCCCTACTTTTAGATATTTATCGCTTAGAAAATTGCCCTTACCTATGTTGACTTGTCATGTGCAAAATTATTCACAGCAACATTATTTATAAGGAAGAAAAATTGGGAAAAGCTTAACTGTCCATCACTGGACATATCTATTGGATGAAGTACTGTGTGGCATTAAGAATGAGTGAGTAGGAGCTATACACGTGTTCACAAAATTAAAACAGGAACAAGAAGCTCATAAAGATAATGTTGAGAAAAATGCAGTATATTTCAAATAAACACAAAAACACATACAGTTTTATAATCATTTTGTATCTTTGGAAGGCAAAATAATACTGTATCTTGCTGAGGCATCCTTCAGACACATGTGGTAAAAGTAAAGAGAAAAATCAAAGGAAAGATAAACTGCATTCGTTAGAGTCCTTTCCCTGTGAAAATGAATGGGAAAGTGCATGGATCAGCAGATCCAGCTGCATTGGGAGTGTTTGACGCCTTCAGCTAGCTGGTGGGCATGAGTATGTCTGTCTAATTATTTACACACTGTTTTGTAAGTCTGAATAAATTTTGCATTTTTAATAGCAAACAAATATAATGAATTAACATAAAATGAAAATAAACATGTATTTATATTGCCTCAATCTATAAAAGTGTTCATTACAATATTTTTGAAGGTATATTTGAAAAATATTCTCATTGCAAGCTTCCTTGCACTAAGTATTGAATAGAATAGTAATATTTATTTCACAATTCAGTGTAAACTAAAAAGATGTCGATAGCTTAAGTTTCCAGTGTCAAAGATGGCTAAGGGAATTTGATCATTTTGCACCTTCATTTTGAGATACATCTTTTCCTTAAGAGTTTGACTAACAATAAATTACCTATTTTTGAAAATTAATTTTGATTTTTAAAAGAGCATCTAACCAAGAAAAACATGTTGGTAAATAGAAATGAAAATACAGAAATTGAAGTTGAGCAGTAACTTTTTAAACTTGCTTCCAAACTTCTTTTGAAATTCTGGTTCTTAAGATTTCATTCCCAGGAATGCCTCTGACTCAGTAAACTATTTGCATAATATAGCTTAGGGGTCCTCAACTTTCTTAGTTAATGATGGCTTTACTATCCCGGTAAATTTTTATGGCACTCTTAGGGCAAAAGAAATAACTAAGAGTCTGGTTAAATAGATGACAGCACCAACCCAGAGACCACCTCTGCAAAGATGGTGACATCATTGAAAGAAATGCATCACAGTCCTATACACCCAATGAGAACTACTTTTAGCTAGTGGTTTCCAGTTGTTGATTATTGCTGTTTCCATTGAAATTTTAAAATAGTTGCTGTCACCCATGTGAATTAGCTGCAGCACCCTGTAGACCTTGATTAAACTGTGTTCCACCCCAACACTCACCTTAACAAGGAGGATTCTTCATGTACTTACTCACTCACATTCTTTGTGGTCTCTTCTTATGACCTGCAGGAGAAGCCATACAAGTGCTCAGAGTGCAGCAAGGCCTTCAGCCAGAAGCGGGGCCTTGATGAACACAAGAGACTCATACTGGCGAAAAGCCTTTTCAGTGTGATGTAAGTTTGATTCTTTTTTCTTTCCCTAGTTTCCTTCAATAACCGAAGGAGTAAGTGTTTGCGTGTGCATCGCTATGCTTATTCTGTCGTCTGTTCAGTCCGTATCTGTTAATGCCTTGTGCTTTTTATAGCTTTTTATCGCATAATCCATGTAATCACATTGTAGTCATTGTACTCATAGTTGTTTACAGGCAAACAAACTCTGATTTTCTTGAAGACATTCCTACACTATTTTAATGCCATGGAGTTGTTCTTCCATGTGTAAATTCATAATGATTTAAGACAGCTTTTAGTTTAATGACAGTTAAACTAAAGATTTGGCTAGTTGCAATATTATTTATTTTGTCAAATCCAAACAGAGAATTCCCAATATATATATAAACTCCTTTATGTTAAATAATGTTTTATTTAGATTTTCTTCTTAAAAATTTGTATCAAAATGGAATTATTTGAGATAGCTGTTTATATTATTTTTGAAAGGAGAAAATACTAGTTAGTAATTTTAATCTGAGCATTGACTAATTTAGGGGAAAAAGTGCTTTCTCAACCAGTATTATTTTCTTCTGCAAGAGGTTGATAAAAGGTTAGTTCGAGAAGAATTAATTTAGAAGGTAACACACATGTACAGGAAAGCAATGCAAGTCAACTCCCTGTATGGCTATCCTTATCTCAACTAGCAAAAACCCTTGTTTCTTCCTATTATTGCTTATACTCTCTCTTCAACAAAATCAGAGATAAGGGCAAAATAGTTTCTGCCTGGTAGTGAGGAGGGTAGGGGGCAGGGGGAAGGGAGGAGAAATGAAACAAACATTGTATGCACATATGAATAAAAGAAAAAAAAAGAGGTTGATAATGGCAGAATTGACATAGGTTTTACAGAAAGCAGTAGTATACTTATTTTGGACACATACATATAAAAACATGTTAATGTAGCTCAGTGGAATAAGAAACATTAAAGTGTAATGTGTGAAACAGTACAGATTCTCTGTACTGAAAGAAATTCAAGAACTTAGTTCCCTCCATGTGATCCAATGGATAAAGTATGGGGCGATCAGTCCCTATGAAAGGAAACTCACAAACGCTTTTCCTTATGTGAAGCTTTGTTGGTAAGGCTAATGCAACAATATACTCCAAGTGGGCCAGTGCATAAAAGTACCTTTATCAACAGTGTACTTCTTTAAGGAAAGAGCCATTTGTAGAGAAAGAACTGTATGCCTCAGCTCTATTCTGAACTGTAGCTATGATCCTAGCTTAATAATTTCAATTAGTTTAACTCCTTCCTGCTTTTGTTGGAAACATTTTCATAAAGGCAGAGTCCAATTAAATGATTCAATTGCATATGTGGGCAAAAATAACTGACATGAACCTGAAATTGTGTCTTAGTGCTATATGGATATCTGTGCTAAATTATTTTTATTGAATATTTCCTTAGGTAAATTGAACCATAATTTTTAAAACTAGTATTATAAGTATGATTTTTTTCTATTTCAGTCTGATTTACTTATATGGGATCCAGTACTCTTACCATCATAGCCCAAACTGGTCTATTGAGTAAAGATCCAAATTTCTAAGTGCATGCTAAACTTTCCTCATATGCAGCCTTCTCAGTACAGCACTATCCATGTTTCAAAATCTTGTCCACACTTAACCTGTTCACCGGACTTCTACTCTTCCAAATCTATTACTTCCATTCCTGCTGCCAGCACATAGCTCAGGTGATGCCCTTTCTTATTTATTACATCAAATCTCCAGAGTGTGTGTTTTTAATCTTATCACCCTGCCAATGTGATTGTTTAATAGATTTTTTATTAGCATATATTAATAGTACAAGGGAATTTCATTGGAATAAACCAGTAGGTTCCTAGTTTTCTTTGAACAGGTTTACCCCCTCCAGTATATTCCTTTAACCTCCCCTTCTTCCCCCCTTTTCAAACAGTATTCAGTTGTTACTATCTTTATATATAAATATACTTAATATATGTATATGTATGCAACATACTTCAATCCTCTTCTCTCTCCCAATACTCTCTCCTTTTTCCCTCCACCTTCCTGCTAATCCCACTCTCCCCAGACAGCCCCCTTTTACACTTATATCCCATAATCATTATTATTATCATCATTTTAGTTATAGATTCTGTGTATGAGCAAAAACATAGAATATTAGACTTTTTGACCTTGGCTTATCTTGCTCAACATGGCAATCTCTAGTGCCATCCATTTTCCTGAAAATGACATAATTTTATTTTTTTTCATTCATTCATTGGTGCTTGACACCTAGACTGATTGCGCAGCTTTGCTGTTGTGAATGGTACAGCAGTAAACATGAGTACTTCTCCTGTATGTTCACTGCACTCCTTCAGATACATGCCCACAAATGGTATGGTGAGGTCATAAGGTAGGTCTGTTTTTAGTTTTTTGAGGAAGCTCCATACTGATTTCCATAATGGGAGCACTAGTTTTCATTCCCATGAATAGTGTATGAGAGTTCTTTTTTCGCTTGCATCCTTGTTAGCATTTGTTTGTTTTTCTTGAAAATTGCCATTCTGACTGGGGTGAGATGGAATCTCAGTGTAGTTTTGATTTGCACTTCCTTTATGGCTAAGCATGTAGAACATTTCTTGATGTACTTTTTAGATATTTGTACTTCTGAAAACTATGTATTCAATTCATTTGATCATTTATTAATTGGATTATTTGTTTTTTGGTGTTTAGTTTTTTTTAATCTTTGTGTATTTTAGATTTTATTCCTTTTTCTGTTGCATAGCTGGGAAAGGTTTTCTCCCATTCTGTGGGTTCTTTCTCCATTGTGTTGATAGTTTCCTTTGATGCAAGAGAAGCTTCTTGATTTTATGCAATACCATTTGTCAGTTCTCTTTCTCATTTCCTAGGCAATCAGATCCTATTCAAAAAATAATAGCTAATGTCTATATCTTCCAGTGTTTTCCTGTAGTAGTTTCAAAGTTTTAGATCTTACTTTTAAGACCTTTGATAACTTTTGAGTTGATTTTTGTTCAGGATGAGAGATAGGGGTCTACCTTCAGTCTTCTACATGTAGATAACAAGTTTTCCTGATACCGTTTGTTAAAGAGGCTTTCTTTCATCCAGTGTATGTTTTTGGTTCCTTTGCCAAAAATCAGGTGGCTATAGCTGTTTGTGTTTGTTTGAGTCTTCTATTGTGTTTCATTGGTTTTCATTTCTGTTTTGTTAAAGTTCCACACTATTTTTATTACTCTGGTTCTGTAGTATAGAATTTCAGTATTGTAATATGCCCACAGACTTTCTCTTTTAACTCACGATTAATTTTGCTATTGTTTTTCCATATGAATTTTACGATTAATTTTTTTTTCTATTTCTGTGAGGAATGGCATTGGGATGTTGATGGGGATTGCATTGAATCTGTAGATTGCTTTTAGTAGTATAGTCATTTTCACAGTATTAATTGTGCCAGTTAATGTTAATTCTATGAAATGGGAAGCATCTCCATTTTCTGGTGTCATTTTCAATTTATTTTTTCAAGGTTTTATAGTTTTCGTTGTAAAGATCTTTCAATGCCTTAGTTAAGTTTATTCCTAGGATTTCTTTGTTTTGTTTTATTTTGTTTTTTGAAGTCATTGTAAATGGAATTGTTTTCCTGATTTCTTTCTTAGCCTGCTCATTGTTGATACATAGAAAAGCTACTGATTTTTGTATGTTGATTTTTATATACTGTTATATTAGTGAAAGTGTTTATCAGTTCTAGGAGTTTTTTGGTAGAATTATTAGGGTCTGTTAAGTACAGGAGCATATCATCTGCAAATAGGGATAATTTGACTTGTTTCTTCCCTATTTGAATCCCTTTTATATTTTTTCTCTTCCCTTATTGCTCTGGCTAATAAGTCCAGTGATGTGTTCAATAATAGTGTGTAGAGGGGCTATGCTTGACTTGTTCCTTACTTCAGAGAAAATGATTTCAGTTTTTCTCCATTTAGTATGATGCTGGCTACTGGTTTGTCATATATCACCTTTATTATATTAGGGTACATGCCTTCTGTTCCTAGTGTCTTCAGAAGTTTCATCCTTTCAAATGTTGAATTTTGTTAACATTTTCTGCATCTATTGAGATAATCTTGTGATTTTTATCCTTGAAGATGTTTATGTACTGTATTACATTTATTGATATGCGTATGTTGAACCATCCTTACATCCTTGGAATGAAACCCACTTGATCACGGTCTATGATGCTTTTTAATGTATTGTTGAATTCAGTTTGCAAAAGTATTGTTGAGAATTTTTACATCTGTACCGATCCAAAATATTTACCTATAATTCTCTTTTTCATTGTATTCTCATCAGGTTTTGGTATGTTGCAGTGATCTGCAGCAGTATGGTGGGTTTCTGTTATCCCAGTGGGGAGGAGGATGACTGAGAAAACACTCAGGGAACAGATTCAGAGATCAGGTTCAACTTTAATGTGTAATAAACAGCAGTTAAATACTCTGTTTAGAGGAAGTTTAGCAGGTTTAAAAGTTTACTAGGTGCGCAAGCAAGAATTGAGGAGGTAACACAGACGCCAGGTGGGCTCTAATGGTCAGTGTTTATGCAATCCCCTCTATTGCGAGCAAGGCCTTATCACAAGTGAGCAGGTTGCTCTACTTCTTTTCAGCCAGGGCAAGATACAATTGCCTTAACTCTTTCCTTGCCGGACCAGTGTGGCTGCTCACCTGGGAATCCTCCACAGGTTTTGGTATTAGGGCAATACTGGCTTCATAGAATGAGTTTGGCATTGTCCCTTCTCTTTGTATTTTATGGTATGATTTGAGGTGCGTTGATGTCAGTTCTTTAAATGTCTGTTAGAGTTCGTATGGTCCTGGACTCTTCTTTGTTTGGAGACTCTATTACTGCTTCAATCTCATTGCTTAGTGTAGGTCTTTTAAGTGTTTTATATTCCCTCAGTTCAATTTTGCTAGGTCAAATGCATACAGAAATTTATCCATTTTTTTCTAGCTTTTCCAGTCTATTTC